GACTTCTCTCTTTCTGTGTGTGTGTGTGTGTGTGTGTGTGTGTGTGTGTGTGTGTGTGTGTGTGTGTGTGTGTGTGTGTGTGTTTGGAGGCATTTCAAAGCCTGGGAGCAAGGGAAGGCAGGCACAGAGAGGCAGTGGCGGTTATGCAACGCTGGATATTTATAAACCATCCTCCCTCCTTCCTTTTTCTCCCCTTCTTCCCTTCCTTTTCTAGTCTCTGTCTCCTTAGCCCCTCCTCCCTCCTACTCTCTCCTGCTCCTGATAGCACGCAGAGCCAGCCTGATGTCCAAACATTAGCAGTGCCAACCTCCCAGCCCACTGCTTATGACAATGCAGCCATGTTTCTTCCTATTGGGAACCTTGACAATTGTGGCAGGTGGTTGTTACTCAAGAGGGGCGATGGCAAACAGTTAGCATTAACACACAGAGCCACAGCTGCACCGCAAATTGTCACCCTGTTGCAAATTGTGGCCACAAATTATACATTGCCTCGCTATTCAGATGGAGGAGTGGATTGTCAATTTTTTAGTTCAGCCACACAGAAGGGAAAGAGTAAAATGTGTTATAATCTTCATGTTCAATTAATGTTCATGTATGGCAATCCAAGACTACTCCGCTTTGTGTGTGCCTGTCTCTTTGCATGCACGAATATAAAAGTTCTCTGACTGAACTGTTATATACTTGTTTCTCTGTCCCCTCTTAACCTTGCTTCTCACCCAAAAAAAGACAACAAATTCACATCTTTGCTTTTCTGTATGGTACTTTCTTTAAGAATATTTCACGATCAAAACACTTGTAAACTGCATGAACTGCATCTTAAAGCATTACAACAACATGTCTGGCCCTGAAGTAATTTCTTGAGTGATGGTATATAATTTGTTTTTGTTTTTTTAAGCTTGTTCTAGTCACACCTAAAGTTACATTTCAGTGGGGAAAAATGTTGCCAAATGAGGAAAACATAACATTCAAGATGATAAATATTCATATCCTGCTCTTTTGTTGCCTTTATTCTCTCTTCACAACAATGTTTCTGAACATAAATAAATAAATTAGCCATACATAGCTAAAGCTCTCTGTTTTTTGCTTGCTTCTTCAGTAAGAATTGGCTGTTCATTCATTCCCTAGTGACTCTTTCCCTTCCTACACCTGTTTAGCCATCAGTTTTTATCTGCATGACCATGAAACTTCTCCTTGAATTCAGCAGGTTCATTATTAGGTTGTTATCCTGATTTTGTCAATCAGCATTGGTAGTAAGTAGCTAATGGACTTTAGTCCAATTAGCTGGATAATAAACACTGTTTCTAGTTGAATTTTTAATATGAAGGGTGACTTACATTTAAACATGATCAAAAGTTTTGACTGCTACATACATAATTGTGCACCAAAATACTGTGACCGAACCCACATGTAAGAGACAAAATCATCCAGGAAAGTCAGCAGAACATGAGTGAAAATGCAGCCAATATCCAAAGAAAGACCTTCAGAAAAATTGCTTAAAAAAATATTAGAGGCAAAATATAAAGAAATACGGGGTGATGGCTCAAGATTTTTCCACAGAACTCTATTCAGCCTGCATGACTTTTTAGAGCTTAAAAGTCAGGGTTTTTTTTCCTTTTCTTTCCTTTTTGTTATTTATGTTTTAGAAAAAATAAATAAATAAATAAATAAATAGAAAACCTTAAAAATCATTCCAAAAATGTTTCTTTATCATAGAAGAAAAACATGGTTGCATAGTGTAGTAGTCACATTAACTGGACATTTTAAGTTTTGCAGCTTACACTAGAGTTGATACATGCATCTTTAACTATACTTTTAGTCTTGTACTTTTGCTTTTGGAGATGTTACAAAATAGGATCCTAACTTAAATACATGACTATGGCTAGATACCTGAATCAGGAGATGTTTAGGGTGCAGTGAATGGAGTTTTAAAGCAAGACGACACAACTTCAGCTATTTCAGTTAATCATGTCATTGTGACATCACTCACTTCTATTCTTTCAATATCTTTGATTTTCTTTGAGATATATGCATAAATGAAATATCAGATTCTTTGATAACATGTCAAGCCTATTTTCCCCAAATTCCCAGACTCTCCTGTTACTTAGCCTAAAATTGTGTACTTTGTGGAAGCTGAAGTGACAGTTTCTTCTACTACTTTTAAATTCTGATTCAATTTTAAGGAGCTATTGCACAACTACAAATCCATTTTTTTGTTCTATTATTCATGCCCTCCTCTATTCCCCTGACCACACCGACTTATGGATATTGTAGTGTTTATCTTAGTCTGCAATGCCAAGATGATAGATGAGGTATGAAACAAACTTGATAATAATTACATGTAAAACCAGCAGCCGTAACTCTGTGGAAACAGAAGCTGGTGTGCTCCCAATTTAATGGGCATACCGACTGATAAACATTTTCTTAAAAAAAAACAACAACTTATGTTAAAGGCTAGCTGTACTGTAAGTACCTGAAGGCCTCGATGAGACGTTCCACCTTCTGGGCTTCCCCCTGGACACGAATGTGGGCCTGAAACTTCCTCAGCGCTTCGTCCAGCTCCATGCCTGAGAAATCCATCTCATCCACCACACAGCTGTGAAGCACAGAGAGGCAGCGATGAGATAAGCAAAGAGCATAGGAGATAGGAAAATATATTACAATTTATAGCCAAATTCACTAGAGGTTGAGTAGAGGTTGCCCCTTCACTGGTGGGCTGGATGAACGTGTGGATGAACACCCAAGATAAAGGATGCAAAACTCTCACTCATCTGCTTCCCAGTCACAGCACCACTCTGCTTACTGCAGGTATTAGCCACGCACGGACACCAGGGATAAGACTGGGCCCAGCTATCTTCTCGTGCCACAGCTGCCAAGACACACATATACACACACATATGCACACAATGCCTCAGAGCAGAAAATCCTCCTATTACCTGACAACCCAAACTTAATTACTTTAATTAAAAAAGCAAAATATCCTGTCCAATGAGTTCACGGGAGATAAATACAAGAAGGGCAATTTGAAGGTGAAATGAGGTTTGAAGTGGAAGGTGACTTTGGAAATACCATGGGGCAGGGTTAAAGTTTTCCTAGCTGTGATGTTAGGTTGCCTATTGAGGTACAATTATAATTATTTATCCTGCCCATACCAATTCAAGATTAACTAACTAATTAACTCACACTTAGTGGTTGTAGTGTAGTAGTAGTAGGGATTAAATGCTTTAAAGAGAAAAGATAGCGTTGATAGTAAAATCGTCAATAAATAAAATAAGTAGCGGGGTCATGACATTATCCTTTGCCTCTGATCTTTTCTACTTGCAGTACTGCGGGAAATAGGGAGATGCACAGACACACTCTCCATTATGATGGATTACTGTGAACAAAGGGAGTTAATGAGGTGAGTACTTGACTGTGACACATGCTGCTCCAGCAGAAAAGCATCAGATAGCTGAGTCTTCAGTCCTGCCATACACATACAGTATAACACACAGCACTGCAGAGAACAGCAAATTCTGCTCACACCGACAACATCACTTCAGTTCTTGATGTCCAGGCTTTGGGGAGGCCAATCCACGACTCATAGCGTTCCCCTTTGCGTGCGTGCGTGCATGCATGTAGTTTTTTCTAACCATGTATGCTTTTACTGCAGTGGCAGTGTGTTTGCGATCATTGTCATGCTGGAAAATGAAGCTGTTGCCAATCAAATGTTAACATTTGTTTTGATAAGACCCATAACACCAATGGATTTACAAGTCAGTGTTAAGTGGTTTAACCAACAAAACAGCATTCCTACGGAAAAGGTTGGGTAGAAGAAATGGACTAAAAATGGGTTAAAAAGCAGCCAGTCTACAAAGTAAGACAGTTTTCAGTAAACCTGGAGAACTATTTCTAAAGACTACCTTAAAAATGATAAGTCTGGCTCCTTGTAAGCAACATACACAGAAACAATTGCACAGTACTGTGCAAAAGCATTACTAACTGATTTACTGTACATCTCTATCACTACTTACAGCAACACTGCTATCAACTTTATTAATATTAATTCCAATTATTAATTGCAGTAAATCTTGAAATAATTCTGCCAGTCAGCTCATTAGAGCTACTAATAGTGTGTAATGGTGTAGAAATTCAAGCCGTACAAGATAAAGAAAAGTTTGTTCTTCTTGTTGACTAACAAGAGAAGCTAGTTTTTTTTTAGCAGTGTGTTGCTTCATGCTCCTGTAAAGCACAGAAATAAAGCCCTGGTGTCCTCCCAGGGTGCAACATAACCAACCAAGTGTAAATGAACATAAACAGTGAGTGACATCAAAACTTAAGTGATCTCAGGTGAAAGTCTCCAGGTCAAAAGTGTATTTGTGTCCCCTTTGGGCATTTGAACAGAGACTTAGCTGGCTGGTCAAAAGGCTCCAGGATGCTTTGTGACTTCAGTAATTACTTTACTGATGAATTTAGGGACTCGGTTGCTAGTTTCAGATCAAATCAAGATTTAAACTAAAGCAGGGTATGTTTTACTCTTCAGTTGACAGTTTGGTTTCACTCAGGTAACTTCACGCTTGTCACATCTAGTTTCAAAAAACCAAGACAAATTTGTTCAACCTGAAGCCTAACAATGAATCTTGGGTGAAACTTAGCTAAGCCTATCATTTATATACAGTTAATCAGTTGAATGTTAAGCATGATTAAAACATTGTTTCTGTTCCTTTTTCAGCAAATAGAAAGAAGCTGTTACAGCCAAAAAGTTGCTATTTTTTCATATATGATGCACTTTTAAGTTATTTCAGACTGTACACAACTGCATTTCCATGGTTACAATGTTGGTTACATCTTTCAGTCTTTCCTTCTGCTTAAATGTACAGCTAAGCAAATAGAATGCATGGTTTTAGAGAGTGCACAGCACAGATTTTTTTCTGACCTTCATTGCTCAATGCTGCATTAATAGAAATAAGTGTAATTATTAATTGCACTAACTAACAGACAGGTCAAATTGTGCATATTGTCAACAAATTATAGCACTTAGAGAAAAATTAAAGGCTCATAAAAGTTAAGCTCATACTATGTGCAGTGAGCCTGGATTGATCGTCTTCTTTATCAACTCGTCGACTGTCGGACCACCCTGATCGCCCTCTTCATGACTCACTTCCTTGCTCCACCACCTCTCTCTCCCTTCTTCCCTGGCTGTCACTCCTTGTTTATGTAATGTCAGACGAGATGCTCTTTAGCCTAAGTACATCAGCCCTCTCCTCCCCTCTTACATCTCTCCCCATACACTCTGGCATAATTACACATCTGCATGGGAAAACACACGCACACATAAAACACAAACACACACTATCGTTGACTCGCTTGCAGTGCCTCGGAGAGAAATAGACACATCTGTCTACAGAACGCCACTTAAACTGTACTTTATGTTTACAAAGCTGCGATGGCAGGTATGCATACAAATACATATGAAAATAAAAAGACATAAAAGGCCAGATGGAGCCATATTTTAAGAAGCCAATGAGTAGATGACAGGCTGAAAACAAGATCTCATTTTTCATGCTAAACAAGTACACCGTGTTATCAGTAAATGAGTCCTTGGGGTGTCCATTTTCTGGCACCCAAATCTATAACCACAAATTGGCTTAATTGTCTCGAGACACTTTAACTATTGTTGTTTATGCACCAAGAAATGTGAAGGGAATGAGACTTAGTTTGCTTTATGAGGAGAGGAGGGAGATACCATAACCACGTATTGATGCAAGGCTAGGTCACATGCACATACTTGAAAAGTCACATGCTTGCAGACACGTGCACACACGCACGCACGCACACACACACACACACGCACACAGACTCACATATCCACACCGACTCATTCAGGCTCAGTAAATCACCATGAGTGATTTTCACATTAGACTGCCATCCCTCACCCGCTCTCCTGTGACTGCACACTTTATCGAAAGTGCTCTCGCACACTTTTCACTCTATCACGGTCCTCTTCAACATCACTCTCACCCCGAGTGTTGCTGTTTGAGTGCTGCAGGGAAAATATATATATATACCAATATCACCTGCGCTGAGAATATATCTGTGGTGTGAATTTGAGCTTGAAGCCTTAAGAGCATATTCCTGTTAATAAAATGTCTTTGAAACCATGACGGTGTCCGTTTGAGGAAATATGGATATTAGATGAGCATGAGCTGGAATGAACAACTTGGTAGAGTGCTATGGAGTGTTTGTCTGACCTTGCAAAGACTAAGCCCGTTCTTGGTTTTGTAACTTGTACAAAAAGGCGGGAGATAAAAAGAAAGATCTTCACAACCTCATTGAGCTGATATGCAAATTTAGACATAATTGGTGAAGCACAGAATTTAACAGAGTAGAGGCAATTAGTGAGATAAAGCAAGGAAGGTGTTGAAAGATGGAAATAACTGAAGACGAGGACGGGAGAGGGATCTTTGTACTTTAAAAGCAAATAAAAGGCAATAAAGTTAATGACCTGGAATTAATCTTGCAGGGGGAAGTGAGTTGTGTGTGTGTGTGTGTGCGCATATGAAGTTCTTGTTCTCTAAACCCCAAATTTCATGTGTTTGTTTGTTTTTTTCTTCACTTATCTCATGTATCTATATTTTCTTGCACATAACACTTGTTTTTGAAAAGCATTCGTAACCAAAATGCAAATCCATTCAGCTTCCAAATGAGTTTTAGTGGACTGTGAGGTTCTTGAGAGGTTCTTGAGATGAATATACCTGTACACAAAGACCAAGAAATGTCTACATCAAATATTAACGTCAGATGAAAAGAGTCATTTTTCCGATCTTAAAAACAATCGCATGATGGCTTCTGTAACTCTCGAGGAGCTCTGTCAGGACTGGAAAAGCGTCTTTCTGTTATCACAATTATCTGGGCTCGGACTTAAAAAGATGTTATTGATGCCATACAGCTGGAGTTTTAGGATCCTGCATTTTGAAGTGAACCACACAGTGGGAACTCAGATATCTAAAGATATCTAAAAGCCTGATTTTGCTCTCAGGATGATCAGACTAAAGACGCTGCTGTGGTGCACCATGGGAAGTGACCACATGAACCTTCCAGATGAGTAATAAACCACTAGGATATCCTGGTATTAGTTTTTGGTTTAATTTCAGCTATCCTATCGAAATCAAATTGATAGTTTTGTATTATTTAAATAGAATCTAATTATTGGGAAAATGTTAAAAGAGCTACTTTTGGTCTCAGCAGCGAGCCATGTTTTATCTCACTGACAGCCATGGAAAGCTGCCAAGTCGGCACCACAGAGATGGAAAGACTCGGTAAACGAACCTGTAATATGGCCTACATGCAGTGCAAAGACTTTCTGCTGTTAGCAGTTATTATGAAAAGTGGAGACTACACAGAATTAAACTACAGTGATGCTACCTTTACATACACTTTAATGTGTTGCAGCTGACCAGCTAATGAATGCAGCTGTGTTTGCTAGCGACGAAAGCAGTCACAAGGAGGTTTTCTTATTTCACCTAGTGGCCAGTGATCAAATTACACAGTCTCTATGTGCCTAACATGCAAACTCCACACAAGGACCCTACCTGAGTTTGAGCCCATGACTCTGGCGCTATTACAAACTACTGTATTATCAGTCCATAGATTTCATAAGGAGTCAGCCAAAATGTTTTCACGTAGCATACAAGTAGCTATGGAGAGGAGTGAGCAAGAAACCAAACACTCGAGTCAGACGCAGCCTCTCAATATGCCCAACACGTATCAGTACCAAACACACACACAGATAAAGCAGTGCCTTATCTCCCACACTTCAGTACATCTACCCTATGTCCTGAATGGAAATGGAAGTTTATGAAATCTCAAAAGTAATATTTATGTTATCAGATCACAGATAAACTGTTCCTTGTTTTTCACTTCTGCTCTATATTAACAACAGTTTTAACATGAATGTGATAAAGATGAGTAAAATGTTATTAGGCCAGGAAAATGTTACTTTTGCTTCATGTCAACCTCCTTTAATTTCTGTAGTAGTTGTTGCCCTACAAGTCAACCTACATTTACGAGCTTTACGAAAATCAGACAAGAGCTCATTTTTGTATTTTTGGATCTTTGCACTTCAATTTGAGCTTATTTCAGATGTGTTTATGGCAATGGAAACTATAATGAAATGACCGCAAAAAAATTACACATAAGTGGATAGTGAAGTTATAATTTAGGCTTCACAATTGAGTTTTAGAGAATAATAAGACCCCAAGCTAGAGCTGTGCACAGCTTGTACATAATAAGGCTTCATGAAAAAGGATAGATTACTGGGAAAAGATCCCCCCAAATGATTTGGGGAATCAATATCTGCAGTCCTGTGGGCTACTCACTCTAGGACATCTCTGTTGAAGGGCTTCTTGCTGTTGCCGAGGAACTCTCCAATCATTTGTCGACTCAGGCCCTTTCGCTGTAGCAGAAAGTGGGCAACACCGATGGGCGTGTCTGGGATGAAGCCTCTTGAGATCAGGAACTGAAGGCCCTTGTCAGGGTTACTGAGACAAAAAGGAAAGGGGAAACGTCAGTGAACTAAAGTGAGTTAGTGGTGTGACTTGCATGATGTAGAGTGTAGATATAAACCTTCCAGTGGCCACACTCTACATCTATATTTACAGTCACACTGCATAACTCTTGTGCTATCTGTCAGTGAACTCCTTTCACAACAGAAAACAACAACAGCAACCACTGCGCTGCCAACTTACAGCACATGCTAAATCTGCAAGTCTGGATGAAGATTTGGATCATGTAATAAGGCCAACTTGGTTCTTCTCGCAACAGAAAAGCCTTTTTTCCACCCTGTAGCAGAAAGATAATGGGTGCAGTCACACCATTCTCCAGCTCTGACACACTGCTGTGGCGATAAACCTGGCTATGTGAGACTAGCAGTGGTTTGATGCTGTGCAGCTGCAATATTATTTCTCGAAAAATTGGTGAAATTCATTCAGCTGTGACAGATGATTTTTTCTGTATCATATTGAACCAAAATTAGCAGAATTAAAAAGTCATTTTGTTCAGAACAGCGGTTAGAGACATCGCATATGCCAGTGTGACAGAAATAGGAACAAAAATAACAAAGGTAATCCTTTGTAGCAAAAGTTGTAGGAAGTGTTCAACAAGGATGCTATTTTTTGGTTATCTTTTAATTAGTCGAATAATAACTGGGCTAGAATTTATATCCACAATATATACTGTAAGTATTTCTTTGCAAAGATGAGGATTTTGGTCTGACAATCTATAGTTTCTGGGTTCTTACAGTGAACACCTACAGAGTGTTAGTGTAAATAAACATACAAAAGGCTGTGTATAGTTACTCCCCTGCTGAATTACAACTTTAATTAACAACTACAACACAACACTCTGCTAAATTTAGAGGATATAACAAGAATCACAACTGCCGCCTTAGGAAGCAACTTTAAATCCACACATATACACAGATATAAAATATAGCTCTACCATAGAATTTATTTCACCATGAGAGAAAAAACCCCCTCAAACTTTGACTTTTGCTTACATTTTTCATTCAAATGTGATACAATTTTGATGAATTCATCAGTAAAACCAGACTGGCTATGTTCAAAACGATGCCCTTGTCCACTCATTTGTCACTAGCTTTATAGCAGACACATTTTTTTCAGTATTGAAGTATGTTGTATGAAAAGTAAAGTTTTTAGAGCTATTATACACTTTGTGAATGGCTATTAGTTAATGCTAAGAAACTATGAATTGATTCCAAATTCGTTAGATCACATCAGTGAGGCAGTTAGTATCTAACTTGTTGATGTAATTTATGTGCTCACTAAATGGTCTTATTTCGTTGTTTTTGTGTTTTGTTAGGTTGAAAAATGAAAACAAGGTAAATCACTCCAAAGAACATACTTTGGAACATTAAAACAGCATGTTAATGAGCCATTTCTGGTGGACAATAAATAAGGCTTTTTGTAACAGTGTAACTGGTAATAAAAAAAAGTATCTATCCTAGGTCGCTTACTGCGTACAGCAACTAAAACCTAATCACAAAGCTGTTTCTGTAGACATCAGCAACTTAGTGATTCATATTTTTGGTCAATTTTACAAGTGTCTCCTCCTCAAGGTGGCATTTCTGAAATTTTTGCCTATTCTGTTGGTTCGTTTTTTAAAGCATTTTAGTTTTTAGGAATAATTTTAGATCACATCTTAAATTTGAGAAGCATTTAAAGAAGATTTCTAAGACGGTCAAGGCTAATCTGAATTGTTTTAAGTTAATTCGGCACTATATACCCACTTCAGCAGCTCAGTTATTTATGCATTCCATGATATTCTCTCATTTTTCATATTGTATGACAGTTTGGACCCAAGCAGCACCATCTACAATTCAGTCTGTGGTATCCTTATATAACCAATCTTTAAAAATAATGGATAAAAAAAAATCTGTTCGGTGGCATCACTGTCACATTTTAAAGAAATATAATCTACTTAGTTTTAAGAGTTTTAATCATTTGTGCTTTCTTAAATTAGTCTTTAAATGTATAAATAGAATGGCCCCAGAGTGTCTTAATAGATATATCCAGAGACAAGATAGTAATCGTATTACTAGGAGCATGGTGAACAGCAACTGCAAGATATCATATCGCAGATCTACATTTAGTCAGTCAGCTTTTTCCATAAAGGCTTGCCATCTGTGGAACACACTTCCAACCGAAATCAAATTGATTACAGACATCAGATCCTTTAAATTGAAGGTTAAAGTTTGGTTAAAGGGAAATCAGAGATGTAGTCATTTTAACTAAAGATTTTTAATCGTATTTTAATTCATTGTCTATTAACTGTAATTGTATCTATGATGTAATTTGGTTTTATGAAAATGTATGTTTTATTGTAAAACTTATCTATTTTGATTGTAAGCCCAACAAGGGACAATTGTTGAAAATTAGCAATAGCTATAAACTTATGTGCGTTACATCAGTTTCATGTTTTGTACTTGGATTATGTTAAACTGCACTGTCCCTTTTAACTAAATAAATTCAAATTCAACTTGAATCTGAATAGTGGGATTTAAAAAGCACACATGCTCAAAGATTTTGCGTCTGTAGCCTTATTTAAACTAGTGTGACTAGTATGCTAGTTTATGGTGGCTAATCTCAAAAAATGTTAACAAGGTTTGCAAAGTTCAATTAGAACTGGGTTTAAACACACATCACTGCAATACTTTGTCAACTGTATGCTCTACATTTCCTCTGATACAGTATAGTTTAGATATAGATTGTATATAAAGGAACTTCTATACTGATAATTCTGTGGTTTTAGCATTGACTTTATATCCAAGTATCATGGGATCAAGTTTATTTATTTTCACTTTATTTTTACACCAGCAGCTGGTTTAGTCTTAATACTCTGTTGCTCACATATAGCAGCTGCTACTGGCATGGCCATCTGTTACCAAATAAATACTGAAGTATTTTTTAACAGCACTTGTTGGATCACATGTATACTTTGTATTAGTTGTTGGCTAACATGAATTTTTAACTTTAATGTACAGTCATTACATTACAGGATACATATTCAAATATAGCCCAAGTTCTAAAATGAATACAACCTCAGAACACATGACCTATGATAGCACATGATGTGTAATTATCTATTTAATAAAAAGTACTATAAGCCAAAGAAGCAGTGTGTGAAAAACACAGTTTAACTTGTGATTCATCAGCTTTTAGAGCCACCTTTAGGAGCAACACCTTTAAAGAAATGTTTTCTGTATGACTTCATCAGGTTCTCAGATCACTGTGGACTTTTGGCCAAACTCATTGTACTTCATTGAGATTTGTGGTCATTCATTTATGTAGGGCTCTCTCAAAAATTAGCTCTCGTTTCAATCAGGTTGACTTCTGGGCTTTGACTTGGCCATTGCAACACTATGATACTTTTCTTTTTCAGCTATTCTGTTATAGATTTTCTTCTGGGATTTGGATCATTTGATTGGTGCATGATTACATTATGGACAAACATCTTCACTTCGGTCTCCAGAAGTCTTGAGGTTGGTTCAGATGCAACTTTTGCAAACCCAACAATACTTGTTCAGTCTTTTTTAATTTGTACAGTAATGAACATTAACATTTAACATGCTAACGCCTGTAGAATCTAAGATGAAGCTCTTGGATTTTCTTTGCAGTTTCTTTGAACATTGCAAGGTCTGACCTTGGGGTGATTTGCTAATACATGTGCTCCTGGGGGACTGGTCTTGAATGTTTTCCACTTTTGAATAATCTTTCTCATTGCAGACTGATGGACTTCAGATTGTTTGGAAATTGTGTTATAGCCCTTTGCAGATAGATGGACAGCAGTAGCTGCTTCTTTAAGATTGCAGCATTATGTTAAAACATACCTGAATGCTCCAGACCAGCAAACCTCCAAAACTTCTGCTTTTATAGAGGTGCTCACACTTGCTAATTATCAATTATTAGCATTTGATTAGCAGCACCTATCTTCTTAGTGGCTTAGTGTTTGTTGTATTTGTATTTAACCTGGTAAGGACTATTTTTACAATTTTTTTTTATTATATCTTGATAGGTAAAATGTTCTTATAATGTGTTTACTCCTTTTCTTAGTTCGCAGTGCTTCATTCTGGTACCTAATGTGTTCAGCTGGTGACTGGTGGTAATTCTTTTAACTCTTTGAAGCATGTAGGTATAAAGTCACTGTTACAGGACGAACACATGGTTACCTCACTATATTGCTCTTTACATATTCCAGAAGAGGGATATAATTCATCAGGCTAACGTATGTAAATGAATGCCAGTATCCCTTGGATACAGAGACAAAAGCTCATTTGGGACTGTATGTGTTTAATGCATGAGTAGTGCATGGAAACATTTATTTTACTGAGTGATGAGGTGCACTCACATGCTCATGCATCAGAAAATTGTCGAAATATCTCAGCGGGCCTATGAATCATTGTTTTCAAAAGAGAGTACATCTCCCTGTCCAGCATTCGTTCAGGAGATTCAAGAGCTTTCAGTTGACTACATGGCCAAAGTTATATATGAATACAGGAGTAATATCTTAACTATTTATAACCATATAGCTGCTCCGGGGAGGCTGCTGCATTATGGTCACAGCTGTCCCACTCCAGTCTTCATACAGTGTTTAAACTACAGCCTTTACATAAGAGAGTGTGTACCAGAGCTAATGGGTTTAGTGAGGCAAGGGCACGACAGAGGGGAGGATAAAGGGCAGAATAGAAAGAGAAGACTGGAAGAGGACCAGACTGAGCAGATGTGCGGGAATGGGAGGGTGAGGACAAAGAGTGAGCACGATGAGCGCAGACTGGACTGCCTGAAAGCATCTGCTGCAACAGCCTCGGCACACTCTCAGCGTCTCAACCTCTCAGCTGAAGGTGCTGTCTCGCCAAATGGATTTGGCAGATATCACTCATTTGATGTTTGCCCAACAACAGATGGATCCCACATGGTGATTATTACTCGTAATCAGAAAAAGATAGGGGGGGACGACTGCAAAA